AAGGAATGGGGTAATGGGGGTAATGGGGCTATGGGGGTGATGGGGTAATGGGGTTAATGGGTCAGTGGGGCAATGGGGGTTATGGGGGCAATGGGGACAGTGGGGGTAATGGGGCAATGGGGGCAATGGGGTTAATGGGGCAATGGGGGCAATGGAGCAATGGGGGTCATCAAGGCTCCATAGAGCACCCTTGGCTCCATCCCTATGGGGTCCCCCTGGTATCCCTTTGGGAACGCTTTGGGATGGGGGGGGCCCATTCCTGACCCCCCACCCCGGCCCCATAGGAGCTGGTGAGGTTGACCCCGGAGCCAGGCGAGAGGGAGAGGCTGAAGGTGGCCCTGGATGCCATGAGAGTGGGTTCGGGGGGGTCCTGGGGGGTCTGTGGGGTTCTATGGGGTTCTATGGGGTCCTATGGGGTCCTATGGGGTCCTATGGGGTCCTATGGGGCTCTTGGAGGGGTTTGGGGGGGTCCTGAGGGGTCCTTTGGGGTCCTATGGGGCTCTTGGATGGGTTTGGGGGGGTCCTGGGGGGTCCTTTGGGGTCCTATGGGGCTCTTGGATGGGTTTGGGGGGGTCCTGGGGGGTTTGGGGGTCTGTGGGGTCCTATGGGGCTCTTGGATGGGTTTGGGGGGGGTCCTGGGGGGGTCCTTTGGGGTCCTATGGGGCTCTTGGATGGGTTTTGGGGGGTCCTGAGGGGTTTTGGGGTCCTGGGGCTCTTGGATGGGTTTGGGGGGGTTCTGGGGGGTCCTTTGGGGTCCTATGGGGCTCTTGGATGGGTTTGGGGGGGTCCTGGGGGGTTTTGGGGGTTCTATGGGCTCTTGGGTGGGTTTGGGGGGGTCCTTTGGGGTCTTGGGGTCCTATGGGTCCTTTGGGGGGTCTTGAGGGGTTTGGGGGGGTCCTGGGGGGTTGTGGGTTGGGGGGGGTTTTGGGGGTTGGGGGTTGGGGTTGGGGGTTGGGGGGTTTGGGGTGTCCTTTGGGGTCCTATGGGGCTCTTGGATGGGTTTGGGGGGGTCCTGGGGGGTCCTTTGGGGTCCTATGGGGCTCTTGGATGGGTTCGGGGGGGGGGGTCCTATGGGGCCCTATGGGGTTCTATGGGGCTCTTGGGTGGGTTGGGGGGGGTCCTGGGGGGTCCTTTGGGGTCCTATGGGGCTCTTGGATGGGTTTGGGGGGGTCCTGAGGAGGTTTGAGGGGGTCCTATGGGGTTTAAATGGGTTTGGGGGGGTCATGAGGAGGTTTGGGGGGTCCTATGGGGCTTTTGGGGGTGTTTGGAGGGGTCCTGATGGGGTCTTGGGGGGCACCCAATGGGTCCTTGGGGGGGGGGTCTTGAGGGGGATCTGGGGGGGCTCCCATTGGGTTTTGGAGTACCCGAGAGGATGCTGGGATAAACGTGGGGGGGTTTCTATGGGGGTTTTGGGGGTCTCGGGGGTACTTGGGGGTATAAGGGGGGGGGGGGGTCCCTGACGGTGCCCCCCAGGACCTGGCTCAATGCGTGAATGAGGTGAAGCGGGACAACGAGACCCTGAAGCAGCTCACGAGCATCCAGCTCTGCCTCCATAACATGGTGGGGACCCCCCCTGCCCCCCAACACCCCATGGGGCCCCACACCCACCCCATGGCACCCCCCTTGTCCCATCCCCCCCCCAGCCGCAGTCCCTGGCGCAGTTTGGGCGCCTCAAGATCGATGGGGAACTGAAGGTGTCGAGCACGGAGCGGAGATCCAAGGTGGACAGGTAGGGGGAGGGGAGGGACACCACGTGTCCAGTACCCCATACCCCATCCCCCATACCCCATACCCCATACCCCATACCCCATACCCCATACCCCATACCCCATACCCCATCCCCCATACCCCATCCCCCATACCCCATACCCCATATCCCATACCCCATACCCCATACCCCATATCCCATATCCCATACCCCATACCCCATACCCCATATCCCATACCCCATACCCCATACCCCATACCCCATACCCATCCCCATATCCCATACCCCATACCCCATATCCCATACCCCATACCCCATACCCCATCCCCATCCCCATACCCCATCCCCCATACCCCATATCCCATACCCCATACCCCACACCCCATACCCCATACCCCATACCCCATACCCCACACCCCATACCCCATACCCCATAATAACCCCATACCCCATATCCATACCCCATACCCATACCCCATACCCCATATCCCATACCCCATACCCCATACCCCATACCCCATATCCCATACCCCATACCCCATACCCCCCATATCCCATACCCCCATATCCCATACCCCATACCCCATACCCCATACCCCATACCCCATACCCCATACCCCATACCCCATATCCCATACCCCATACCACATACCCCATATCCCATACCCCATACCCCATACCCCATACCCCATATCCCATACCCCATACCCCATACCCCATACCCCATACCCCATATCCCATACCCCATACCCCATACCCCATATCCCATACCCCATACCCCATACCCCATACCCCATATCCCATACCCCATACCCCATACCCCATATCCCATATTCCATATCCTATACCCCATACCCCATACCCCATACGGGTCCCTATCTCTCTCCCCCCATACCCCATATCCCATACCCTGATACCCCATACCCCATATCCCACACCCCACACCCCATATCTGATATCCCATACCCCATACCCCATATCCCATACCCCATATCCTATATCCCATATCCCATAATAACCCCATATCCCATACCCCATATCCCATATCCCATATCCCAGGTACGGATTCCTCCTGGACAAGGCTCTCATCATCTGCAAGCGCCGGGGGGACTCCTATGAGGCCAAGGACGTCGTGGACCTGCAGAGCCACCAAGTGCGGGATGGGGGCATCAGTGCCCGCGATGGCAAGAAGGTACCTGGATCCCAGTGGATCCCAGTGGATCCCAGTGGATCCCAGTATCCATGTCCATGGTGGGCTCCAGCATCCATATACCAAGTGTCCATGTCCATAGTGGGTACATAGAAACCTGGACATGGTCTCCAGTGATGTCCCCATTGCCCCCATTGACCCATTGACCTTCCCGTTGTGCCCCATTGACCCACTGACCTTCCCATTGTTTCCCACTGACCCAATGATGTCCCCATTGACCCAACGAGGTCCCCATCGACCCAATGATGTCCCCACTGTCCCAATGATGTCCCCATTGTGCCCCGTTGACCCATTGACCTCCCCATTGACCCAACGATGTCCCCATTGACCCAATGAGGTCCCCATTGACCCAACGAGGTCCCCATCGACCCAACGATGCCCCCATTGACCCAACAAGGTCCCCATCGTGCCCCATTGACCCAGTGATGTCCCCATCGACCCAAGAGGTCCCCATTGACCCAGTGGTGTCCCCATTGCCCCCATTGTCCCAGTGATGTCCCCATTGCCCCCAGTGCCCCAGTGATGTCCCCATTGTCCCCATTGCCCCAGTGCGGTCCCAGTGCCCCAGTGATGTCCCCATTGTCCCAGTGATGTCCCCATTGTGCCCCATTGCCCCAGTGATGTCCCCATTGCCCCCATTGATACCCCATTAATGCCCCCATTGATGCCCCATTGATGCCCCCATTGATACCCCATTGATGCCCCCATTGATACCCCAGTATCAGGGTGCTGCTGACCCCATTGCCCCCACAGTGGACCCACACATTCCTGCTCATCGAGGCTGGAGGTCTCCAGGGCTACGAGCTCTTCTTCAAGACCCATGAGCTGAAGAAGAAGTGGCTGGAGCAGTTCGAGATGGCCCTGTAGGTGCACCCAGGGGGGACGTCACCCATTGGGGTCCGCTGGTCCTTGGGGGTCAATGGTGCCCATCCCATCCCATATCCCCCCATGTTGTCCTCCCAGGTCCAACATCTTCCCTGAGCACGCGCTGGCCGATGGGCACGAGTTCCAGATGTTCTCCTTCGAGGACACCACCTCCTGCAGGGCCTGCCAGATGCTGCTCAGGTGGGAGCCCAAAGCCACGTCACCCACCCATGGTGGCTCCAGTCCATCCCATGATGTCCTGCACCCATCCCATAATAGCCCCAACCCATCCCATGGTGGCTCCAAGCCATCCTATGGTGTCCGGCACCCATCCCATGATGTCCTGCACCCATCCCATAATATCCCCAACCCATCCCATGGGGGGCTCCAACCCATCCCATGATGGCTCCAACCTATCCCATGGTGTCCTGCACCCATCCCATAATATCCCCAACCCATCCCATGACATCCTGCACCCATCCCATAATATCCCCAACCCATCCCATGATGGCTCCAACCCATCCCATAATATCCCCAACCCATCCCATGACATCCTGCACCCATCCCATAATATCCCCAACCCATCCCATGATGGCTCCAACCCATCCCATGATGTCCTGCACCCATCCCATAATATCCCCAACCCATCCCATGACATCCTGCACCCATCCCATAATATCCCCAACCCATCCCATGATGGCTCCAACCCATCCCATGGTGTCCTGCACCCATCCCATAATATCCCTAACCCATCCCATGACATCCTGCACCCATCCCATAATATCCCCAACCCATCCCATGACATCCTGCACCCATCCCATAATATCCCCAACCCATCCCATGATGGCTCCAACCCATCCCATGGTGTCCTGCACCCATCCCATAATATCCCTAACCCATCCCATGACATCCTGACCCATCCATAATATCCCCAACCATCCATGTCTGCACCCATCCCATAATATCCCCAACCCATCCCATGATGGCTCCAACCCATCCCATGACGTCCTGCACCCATCCCATAATATCCCCAACCCATCCCATGATGGCTCCAACCCATCCCATGATGTCCTGCACCCATCCCATAATATCCCGAACCCATCCCATGATGTCCTGCACCCATCCCATAATATCCCCAACCCATCCCATGGTGTCCTGCACCCATCCCATAATATCCCCAACCCATCCCATGACATCCTGCACCCATCCCATAATATCCCCAACCCATCCCATGACGGCCTCAAAACCCATCCCATGGTGTCCTGCACCCATCCCATAATATCCCCAACCCATCCCATGACATCCTGCACCCATCCCATAATATCCCCAACCCATCCCATGACATCCTGCAGCCCATCCCATAATATCCCCAACCCATCCCATGACGGCCTCAAATCCCATGGTGTCCTGCACCCATCCCATAATATCCCCAACCCATCCCATGGTGTCCTGCACCCATCCCATAATATCCCCAACCCATCCCATGGTGTCCTGCACCCATCCCATAATATCCCCAACCCATCCATGATGGGCTCCAACCCATCCCATGGTGTCCTGCACCCATCCCATAATATCCCCAACCCATCCATGATGGCTCCAACCCATCCCATAATATCCCCAACCCATCCCATGGTGTCCTGCACCCATCCCATAATATCCCCAACCCATCCCATGGTGGCTCCAATCCATCCCATGATGTCCTGCACCCATCCCATAATATCCCCAACCCATCCCATGGTGGCTCCAATCCATCCCATGATGTTCTGCACCCATCCCATAATATCCCCAACCCATCCCATGATGGCTCCAACCCATCCCATGACGTCCTGCACCCATCCCATAATATCCCCAACCCATCCCATGATGGCTCCAACCCATCCCATGATGTCCTGCACCCATCCCATAATATCCCCAACCCATCCCATGATGGCTCCAACCCATCCCATGATGTCCTGCACCCATCCCATAATATCCCAAATGGATATGATGGGTGGGTGCAAGGTGGGTCCATGATGGATGGGTTCAAGGGGTCTCCATGGGTGGGTTCAAGGGGTCTCCATGGGTGGGTTCAAGGGGTCTCCATGGATGGGTTCAAGGGGGCTCCATGGGTGGGTTCAAGGGGTCTCCATGGGTGGGTTCAAGGGGTCTCCATGGGTGGGTTCGAAGGGCTCGATGGGTGGGTTCAAAGGGTCTCCATGGGGTAGTTCAGGGGTCTCCATGGGTGAGTTCAAGGGGTCTCCATGGGTGGGTTCAAGGGGCTCCATGGGTGGGTTCAAGGGGTCTCCATGGGTGGGTTCAGGGGCTCCATGGGGTGGAGTCTCCAAGGGGCTCCTATGGGTGGGTTTCAAGGGGCTCCATGGGTGGGTTCAGGCAATCCCTATGTGGTGCAAGGGCTCCATGGTGTTTTCAAGGCTCTATGGAATGGGTCCAAGGTGCTCCATGGGTGGGTTCAAGGGGTCTCCATAGATGGGTTCAAGGGGCTCCATGGGGTGAATTTTTCAAGGGTCTCCAGGGCGGGCTCAGGGATTCTTCATGGGTGGGTTCAAGGGGTCTCCATGGGTGGGTTCAAAGGGTCTCCATGGGGGGGTTCAAAGGGTCTCCATGGGTGGGCTCAGGGGTCTCCATGGGTGGGTTCAAGGGGTCTCCATGGGGGGGTTCAAGGGGTCTCCATGGGTGGGCTCAGGGGTCTCCATGGGTGGGTTCAAGGGGCTCCATGGATGGGTTCAGGTGTTTCCATGGGGGGGTTCAAGGGGCTCCATGGGTGGGTTCAGGGGGCTCCATGTGTGGGTTCAAGGGGTCTCCATGGGTGGGTTCAAGGGGTCTCCATGGGTGGGTTCAAGGGGCTCCATGGGTGGGTTCAAGGGGTCTCCATGGGGGGGTTCAAGGGGTCTCCATGGGTGGGTTCAAGGGGTCTCCATCTCCATGGGGGGGTTCAAGGGGTCTCCATGGGTGGGTTCAAGGGGTCTCCATGGATGGGTTCAGGGGTCTCCATGGGTGGGTTCAAGGGGTCTCCATGGGTGGGTTCAGGGGGCTCCATGGGTGGGTTCAAGGGGTCTCCATGGGTGGGTTCAGGGGTCTCCATGGTTGGGTTCACGGGGTCTCCATGGGTGGGTTCAAGGGGTCTCCATGGGTGGGTTCAAGGGGTCTCCATGGATGGGTTCAAGGGGTCTCCATGGGTGGGTTCAAGGGGTCTCCATGGGTGGGTTCAAGGGGCTCCATGGATGGGCTCAAGGGGTCTCCATGGGTGGGTTCAAGGGGTCTCCATGGGTGGGTTCAAGGGGTCTCCATGGGTGGGTTCAAGGGGTCTCCATGGGTGGGTTCAAGGGGTCTCCATGGGTGGGTTCAAGGGGTCTCCATGGGTGGGTTCAAGGGGTCTCCATGGGTGGGTTCAAGGGGTCTCCATGGGTGGGTTCAAGGGGTCTCCATGGGTGGGTTCAAGGGGCTCCATGGGTGGGTTCAGGGGTTATGGGTGGGCTGGGGTTTGGGTGGGTTCAAGGGGTCTCCATGGGTGGGCTCAAGGGGTCTCCATGGGTGGGTTCAAGGGGTCTCCATGGGGGGGTTCAAGGGGTCTCCATGGGTGGGTTCAAGGGGTCTCCATGGGTGGGTTCAAGGGGTCTCCATGGGGGGGTTCAAGGGGTCTCCATGGGTGGGTTCAAGGGGCTCCATGGGTGGGTTCAAGGGGTCTCCATGGGTGGGTTCAAGGGGTCTCCATGGATGGGTTCAAGGGGTCTCCATGGGTGGGTTCAAGGGGTCTCCATGGATGGGTTCAAGGGGTCTCCATGGATGGGTTCAAGGGGTGTCCACGGGGGGGTTCAAGGGGTCTCCATGGGTCCATGCCCATGCCCCCCATGCTGCTGTCCCCAGGGGCACCTTCTACCAGGGCTATCGGTGCAGCCGGTGCTGGGCCCCCGCGCACAAGGAATGTCTGGGGCGGGTGGGGACCTGCGGTAGGGCCAGCACTGGTGAGAGCTGGGAATGGGGTGGGATCATCATGGGATGGGATGGGATCATCATGGGATGGGGTGGGATCATCATGGGATGGGGTGGGATCATCATGGGATGGGATGGGATCATCATGGGATGGGTTGGGATCATCATGGGATGGGTTGGGATCGATCATGGGATGGGTTGGGATCATCATGGGATGGGTTGGGATCATCATGGGATGGGTTGGGATCATCATGGGATGGGATGGGATCATCATGGGGTGGGATGGATCATCATGGGATGGGATGGGATCATCATGGGAGGTGGGATCATCATGGGATGGGGTGGGATCATCATGGGGTGGGATCATCATGGGATGGGATGGATCATCATGGGATGGGTTGGGATGATCATGGGATGGGTTGGGATCATCATGGGATGGGTTGGGATCATCATGGGATGGGTTGGGATCATCATGGGATGGGTTGGATCATCATGGGATGGGTTGGGATCATCATGGGATGGGTGGGATCATCATGGGATGGGATGGGATCATCATGGGATGGGTTGGGATCATCATGGGATGGGTTGGGATCATCATGGGATGGGTTGGGATCATCATGGGATGGGTTGGGATCATCATGGGATGGGTTGGGATCATCATGGGATGGGTTGGGATCATCATGGGATGGGTTGGGATCATCATGGGATGGGTTGGGATCATCATGGGATGGGTTGGGATCATCATGGGATGGGTTGGGATCATCATGGGATGGGATGGGATCATCATGGGATGGGTGGGATCATCATGGGATGGGATGGATCATCATGGGATGGGTTGGGATCATCATGGGATGGGTTGGGATCATCATGGATGGGTTGGGATCATCATGGGATGGGATGGGATCATCATGGGGTGGGATGGGATCATCATGGGATGGGATGGATCATCATGGGATGGGATGGGATCATCATGGGATGGGATGGATCATCATGGGATGGGTTGGGATCATCATGGGATGGGTTGGGATCATCATGGATGGGTTGGGATCATCATGGGATGGGATGGGATCATCATGGGATGGGTTGGGATCATCATGGGATGGGATGGGATCATCATGGGATGGGATGGGATCATCATGGATGGGATGGGATCATCATGGGATGGGATGGGATCATCATGGGATGGGATGGGATCATCATGGGATGGGTTGGGATCATCATGGGATGGGTTGGGATCATCATGGGATGGGTTGGGATCATCATGGGATGGGTTGGGATCATCATGGGATGGGTTGGGATCATCATGGGATGGGTTGGGATCATCATGGGATGGGTTGGGATCATCATGGGATGGGTTGGGATCATCATGGGATGGGGTGGGATCATCATGGGATGGGATGGGATCATCATGGATGGGATGGGATCATCATGGGTGGGTTGGGATGGATCATGGGATGGGTTGGGATCATCATGGGATGGGTTGGGATCATCATGGGATGGGATGGGATCATCATGGGATGGGGTGGGATCATCATGGGATGGGTTGGGATCATCATGGATGGGATGGGATCATCATGGGATGGGATGGGATCATCATGGGATGGGATGGGATCATCATGGGATGGGATGGGATCATCATGGGATGGGATGGGATCATCATGGGATGGGGTGGGATCATCATGGGATGGGATGGGATCATCATGGGATGGGATGGGATCATCATGGGATGGGGTGGGATCATCATGGGATGGGTTGGGATCATCATGGGATGGGTTGGGATCATCATGGATGGGTTGGGATCATCATGGGATGGGATGGGATCATCATGGGATGGGGTGGGATAATCATGGGATGGGTTGGGATCATCATGGGATGGGATCATCATGGGATGGGTTGGGATCATCATGGGGTGGGTTGGGATCATCATGGGATGGGATGGGATCATCATGGGATGGGATGGGATCATCATGGGATGGGTTGGGATCATCATGGGATGGGATGGGATCATCATGGGATGGGATGGGATCATCATGGGGTGGGATGGGATCATCATGGGATGGGATGGGATCATCATGGGATGGGTTGGGATCATCATGGGATGGGTTGGGATCATCATGGGATGGGATGGGATCATCATGGGATGGGTTGGGATCATCATGGGATGGGTTGGGATCATCATGGGATGGGTTGGGATCATCATGGGATGGGATGGGATCATCATGGGATGGGTTGGGATCATCATTGGATGGGGTGGGATCATCATGGGATGGGTTGGGATCATCATGGATGGGATGGGATCAGGATAGGGGCGGCCTGGCTGGGGCCATCATGGACCCCCCCATCCATGCCCCCCCCCAGCACTCCCAATGGGGGTCCCCCCCCCCTCCAATGGCTCCTCCCCTCTTCCCCCCCCAGACTCAAGCTCCGCCCCCCGGAAGGTACCGGGACCATGGGACCGGATGGGCTCAGATCCCCATTGGGATCAGGGAGACCCCGGGGGGGGATGGGGGGGGGCTGGGTCCATCCCCTCCCCCCTTCCCCCCCCCCCCAAGGGGCTCATTAGGGTCTCCTTGACCCCCAGAACAAGGCTCAGAGGCCGGGCCCTGAGGAGAGAAGAAGCCTCGGTGAGGCCATGGTGGTTGTGGGGCAGAGGGGGGGTGGTTGTGGGGCAGAGGGGGGGTGGTTGTGGGGCAGAGGGGGTGGTTGTGGGGCAGAGGGGGTGGTTGTGGGGCAGAGGGGGGGTTGTGGGGCAGAGGGGGGGTGGTTGTGGGGCAGAGGGGGGTGGTTGTGGGGCAGAGGGGGGGTGGTTGTGGGGCAGGGGGGTGGTTGTGGGGCAGAGGGGGGGTGGTTGTGGGGCAGAGAGGGGGTGGTTGTGGGGCAGAGGGGGGTGGTTGTGGGGCAGAGGGGGGGTGGTTGTGGGGCAGAGGGGGGTGGTTGTGGGGCAGAGGGGGGGTGGTTGTGGGGCAGAGGGGGGTGGTTGTGGGGCAGAGGGGGGTGGTTGTGGGGCAGAGGGGGTGGTTGTGGGGCAGAGGGGGGGTGGTTGTGGGGCAGAGGGGGGGTGGTTGTGGGGCAGAGGGGGGGGGTTGTGGGGCAGAGGGGGGGTGGGTGTGGGGCAGAGGGGGGGTGGTTGTGGGGCAGGGGGGTGGTGGGGCAGAGGGGGGGTGGTTGTGGGGCAGAGGGGGGGTGGTTGTGGGGCAGAGGGGGGTGGTTGTGGGGCAGAGGGGGGGTGGTTGTGGGGGAGGGGGGGTGGTTGTGGGGCAGAGGGGGGTGGTTGTGGGGCAGAGGGGGGTGGTGTGGGGCAGAGGGGGGGTGGTTTGGGGCAGAGGGGGGTGGTTGTGGGGCAGAGGGGGTGGTTGTGGGGCAGAGGAGGGTGGTTGTGGGGCAGAGGGGGGGGTTGTGGGGCAGAGCGGGGGTGGTTGTGGGGCAGAGGAGGGTGGTTGTGGGGCAGAGAGGGGGTGGTTGTGGGGCAGAGGGGGGGGTTGTGGGGCAGAGGGGGGTGGTTGTGGGGCAGAGGGGGGGTGGTTGTGGGGCAGAGGGGGGGTGGTTGTGGGGCAGAGGGGGGGTGGTTGTGGGGCAGAGGGGGGGTGGTTGTGGGGCAGAGGGGGTGGTTGTGGGGCAGAGGGGGGGTGGTTGTGGGGCAGAGGGGGGTGGTTGTGGGGCAGACGGGGGTGGTTGTGGGGCAGAGGGGGGGTGGTTGTGGGGCAGAGGGGGGTGGGTGTGGGGCAGAGGGGGGTGGTTGTGGGGCAGAGGGTGGTTGTGGGGCAGAGGGGGGGGTGGTTGTGGGGCAGAGGGGGGGTGGTTGTGGGGCAGAGAGGGGGTGGTTGGTGGGGCAGAGGGGGTGGTTGTGGGCAGAGGGGGGGGGGGTGGTTGTGGGGCAGAGAGGGGGTGGTTGTGGGGCAGAGGGGGGTGGTTGTGGGGCAGAGGGGGGTGGTTGTGGGGCAGAGGGGGTGGTTGTGGGGCAGAGGGGGGTGGTTGTGGGGCAGAGGGGGGGTGGTTGTGGGGCAGAGGGGGGGTGGTTGTGGGGCAGAGGGGGGTGGTTGTGGGGCAGAGGGGGGTGGTTGTGGGGCAGAGGGGTGGTGGGCAATTGGTGATGCAGGGGGGTGGTTGTGGGGCAGAGGGGGGTGGTTGTGGGGCAGAGGGGGGTGGTTGTGGGGCAGAGGGGGGGTGGTTGTGGGGCAGAGGGGGGGGGGGTTGTGGGGCAGAGGGGGGGTGGTTGTGGGGCAGAGGGGGGGGGGTTGTGGGGCAGAGGGGGGTGGTTGTGGGGCAGAGGGGGGTGGTTGTGGGGCAGAGGGGGGGTGGTTGTGGGGCAGAGGGGGTGGTTGTGGGGCAGAGGGGGTGGTTGTGGGGCAGAGGGGGGTGGTTGTGGGGCAGATTTGTGGCTATTGTGGGGGCAGAGGGGGGGTGGTTGTGGGGCAGAGGGGGGTGGTTGTGGGGCAGAGGGGGGGTGGTTGTGGGGCAGAGGGGGTGGTTGTGGGGCAGAGGGGGGGTGGTTGTGGGGCAGAGGGGGGGTGGTTGTGGGCGGAGGGGGGTGGTTGTGGGGCAGAGGGGGTGGTTGTGGGGCAGAGGGGGGGTGGTTGTGGGGCAGAGGGGGGGTGGTTGTGGGGCAGAGGGGGGGTTTGTGGGGCAGAGGGGGGGTGGTTGTGGGCAGAGGGGGGGTGGGTGTGGGGCAGAGGGGGGTGGTTGTGGGGCAGAGGGGGTGGTTGTGGGGACAGTGGCGCATAGCACTCTGAAAATTAAGATCAAAAGTAAAAAGAAAACAACAACCCACCAAAAACTGAATTGACTTTTTGTCCTTCTTTTCGTAACAGCATAATATTACATTGGCATGCAAAGTCAGACAGGAAAAGAAGTTCTGTTATAAGATACTCAGCATTTCCTCCTTCTTTTCATTTTATGTCTCTTCAAAAAATCTGTTCTGGAGGATAACATAGTGTTTAGGAGTCAGGATTATTGAGGGAAAGATACAACATGAAAACAGTAAGAGAAAGAAAATGTAAAAGGGTTCAGCATGAACATATTTTCATTTCATTACTGTATCTTCTGAATTTAG